AAATTCTTGAATACTTAATTCTCTCCATTTAATTCTAATTGTTTCTCGCTTTAATTCTAGTTGAATTTATTGTGCAAAACCAGATTAACTCAAACAATCAAGTAAAAATGTTCATTTGTCCTGTTTAACTGCTTGTAAAGCAAAAAGTAGAAAACCATCCCCAAATGTTTCAGTTTTTCTTCTGAGTGAAGGAGCTCCCACCACTGTTACGCATAATTTACACTTATTTCTGTAATATCTGCCATAATAAAGCTCATTTTGAAGGGAAAAACAGCAGGAAGTCAAAGTTTAAAAAGAGCAGACCAAGCTAAACGAAAAAAATGTAATCAAATATTCATAATAAATCATATTAGGTTTATTCTACACCTCCTCTGTCCTCCCAATATATATATATATATCAATAAGAAAATCTGCCTATACTTAATTTTCTCCTTTAATTCTACTTGTTTCTCCCTTTAACTCTACTTGAATATATTGTGGAATATTCAGTCATGACTGGAGGGTTTTTTCCCCCCGATATTAGAAATGATTTTACTGAGTAATAGAGACTAAAAGACTAAAACGTCCTGGAAATGAGCTCAGTTCCAGCATCCAGAAATGTGTTGTAAATACGACGGTCATTTTTCTTTCTTTATACGTTAAAAAGAGCCACAGATCTTAAAAGTTTGTGGTTAAAAACACGAATTGGCAGAAATGCAACAAGAACCTCGAGGCTTCTGCAATAAAATTATGAATTTCCAAACAGTTTTAGCCTTAAAATCCCCCAAAATAGCAGCTAACATCCTTCCAGGCTTGGAAACAAGTTTGAATTATCAAATGAGCTTAAGTTACAGTGAAAAAACTAAAGATTTGGAGTCAGAAGAAGCAGAAAACAAGGCGGCGTTGACTTCAAACTGAGGTAAAAAGGCGAGAGAAGCTCAGAAATAATAAATATAATATAATATATAATAAATAAATTCACTTGTGGCGGTTTCCCTGCAGGACTCGGCTGTAAACACATTGGATGCAGGTTTTTACCACCATAAAGACTCTGATCCTTTTAGCTCCACTCTGGGTTTATCCACCTCAGGGTGGAAAACCTGAGAAACACCCCCCCCCCCCCCCCCAGACTCAGGGTGGGTTTAACCGCCTCCTTTTACATATAGAGGCTCTTTCTAAGCTTTCAGTGGACTCCAGAAAACAAAGCAGCAAAGATACAAAGCTACAAAAGTCAAGAGAAAAAAGGAGCCTTAATGTAAATTCTCTCATTCATTTTGGTGAAACTCGTCTCATTTTTAGCCATAAAATCATGTCATAAAATCAACTCCTCTCCAAAAACCAACCAGACAAAAAGTGGCCCCAGAAACAAAGCAGCAAAGATACAAAGCAGCAAAGCTACAAACTCTACAGTTAAAGGTGGAAAACAAATCTTTCATAGTCTAGAAAATGTTAGAAGTCTCTTTAAAACTGCATTTTTCACATCTGAACACAGGAGATGTGCAGATAAAAGAGAGGAAACAGATCGATTTACAGAAGAAAATCATGAAAAATAACAAAAACAAGTCATTCAGCTGATGGATGGATGGATGTTTACACACTTAACAGGCAAATCCTGAGAAAATATAAAGAAAAAAATAAAGCTTAAATGTAAATTCTCTCATTCATTTAGGTGAAACTGGTCTCATCTTTTGCCATAAAATCATTAAAACTCTCCAAAAACCAACCAGACAGGGAGTGGCCCAGAAACAAAGCAGCAAAGATACAAAACAGCAAAGCTACAAAGCTGCAAACTCTACAGTTAGAGGTGGAAAAGTCCTCTGTCACAGTCTACAAAGTGTTAAAAATCTCCTTAAACACAGGAGATGTGCAGATAAAAGAGAGGAAACAGATCGATTTAAAGACGAGAATCATGAAAAATAACAAAAATAAGTAATTCAGCTGATGGATGGATGTTAACACACTTAACAGGCGAGTCAAGAGATAAGAAAAAGAAAAAAGGAGCTAAAATGTAAATTCTCTCATTCATTTTAGTTAAACTCGACTCATCAAAGGCAGAAAACCCAAAATGACATCCAGATATGGCCTCGTTTTACATGTGGAGCTCTTTCTAAGCTTTCAGTGGATTAAAAACCACTCAGACAGGAAGTGACCCCAGAAACAAAGCAGCAAAGATACAAAGATACAAATATGCAAAATTCAAGGGAAAATATAAAGAAAAAATGAGCCTAAATGTAAATTCTCTCATTCATTTTAGTGATACTCAACTCTCCCAAAACCACTCAGACAGGAAGTAGCCTCAGAAACAAATCTACAAAGCTACAAAACAGCAAAGCTACGAAGCAACAAAGCTACAAAAGTCAAGAGAAAAATAAAGGAGCCTAAATGTAAATTCTCTCATTCATTTAGGTGAAACTCGACTCTTCCACAACAGCAAAGATACAAAGCTACAAAACAGCAAAAATACAAAGCTACAAAACAGCAAA